GCGAACCTCTGAGGCGGCCAACGCGGAGAGGAGCCGTGGGGACGGGACATCGAAGGAAGAAAATAAATAAACGGTATTAATGTATGCGGTAGCCGAGGAGGGAGACGGTTATCGAGGCAAAGAGACTGGGGGCATGCACATACGAGACAATGTCTTCCCACTCTGGTACGCAAGGGAAGGACAGAAGAGGGAACTAAAGCCTGGGGTCTAAATGCCTACCGAAGGTGAATTAAGTGCGTGGTAGGAAAACGGAAATAATAAGGAAAAAAGGAATGGAATGGTGCGATGTAATGATCCGTATTGCACGGATAAAGCTTTTCGTTAAATATTATCTCTCCCTCCCCCTGGTTGTGTGGTCCCTCTTGGGCGCACAGCACAATTCGTTGGTTTTGTTTGTGGATCGTTGTTGTCCATGGATGTGCAGTTTTTGTTTTGTTTTGTTTTGTTTTGAGCCGCGGGACAATAACTTACCGCGGGACAATAACTTACCACTGCTGCTGCCGTACTGGCAGTGTTTGTGTTTTTGTTTTTGCGCCGTCGGTGAGGCGCACCCACCATCTTCTGCGTTGGATGTTTAAGTGATAAATTAATTGTCTTATTGCATTCTGCTGGGCTTTAGAGGCGAGGTTTATTGTGTGAAGGAGACTTCGGCTGTAGTTGAAGCGTTATTTCCGTTTTTTTTTTTTTTTGTGTGGTTTCCAATCAGTGCATTATGTTTGCCCGGTCTCTGCTGCGTTTTGAAACGAGCGTGTCTGCTCTACGTGGCATTGACTTTTTGCGCGATCGTTTTCTGAACAAGTCCTCGGCCTTCACGAGGAAGGAGCGTGAACACCTTGGTGTTGTGGGTTTGCTGCCTCCTGCGGTGGAGTCTCTAGATGACCAGGTGGAGCGGGTCTGGAAACAGTTTAAGCTGCTTAGCTTCCCCATCAATCGATACCAGCTGCTGCGCAGTATTATGGACACGAACGTGACTATGTTTTACAAATTTGTAGAAGCACACATGGAGGAGTCGTTACCTATCATTTACACCCCAACGGTGGGTGAGGTGTGCCAGCGGTATGGCGCCATTTTCGTGCGGGATCACGGACTGTACGTGAGTCCACGGGATAAGGGAAAGGTTCGGCAGTGTTTGCAAAATCTCCGTAAACCCAACATCGACATCATTGTAGTCACGGACGGCTCTCGCATTCTGGGCCTGGGGGATCTTGGTGCAAATGGCATCGGTATCAGCATCGGTAAGTGCTCTTTGTACGTTGCTGCAGCCGGCATCAATCCGAGTCGCGTATTGCCCGTCATGTTAGACGCCGGTACGAATAATGAGAAACTTCGCAGTGATCCAGTGTACCTTGGCGTACGTGAGAAGCGCCTCGGCGACGAGGAGTTCTACGCCGTGATGGATGAGTTCATGGAAGCGGCTCGTGCGGAGTGGCCCAACGCCGTCATCCAGTTCGAGGACTTCAGCAACGACCACTGCTTTGCCATACTGGAGCGCTACCAGAAGAAGTACCGCTGCTTCAACGACGACATTCAGGGCACGGGTGCGGTGATTGCCGCCGGCTTCCTCAACGCTGTGAAGGTAAGTGGTATTCCTGTGAAGGATCATCGTGTTGTAATTTTGGGTGCCGGATCTGCTGCAACTGGTGTGGCAGAGGCTATTGTACAGCTTGTGGCCTTGAAGTTTTCCATTCCCATTGAAACGGTGCGAGAGGCGGTATATTTGGTGGATTCGAAGGGCCTCGTCACTACTACTCGTGGTGATATATTGCCGCCTCACAAGGTGCCATGGGCTCGCAAGGATATTGCTCCTGAACTCAACGAAACGCTCTGTACGCTGACGAATGTGGTGAGTCACGTTAAGCCGACGGCATTGATTGGACTGGCTGCAGTTGGTGGTGCCTTTACGGAGGATATCGTCAAGTTTATGTCCTCATATTGTGCGCGTCCCATATTGTTTCCATTGTCAAATCCCACAATGAAGGCGGAGGTGACGCCGGACAATGCTTACAAGTGGACAAACGGCACTGCGGTTGTGGCTTCTGGCAGTCCATTTCCATCCAGTTTTGTTAATAATAAGATTCTGACCCCGTCGCAGGGTAACAATCTTTACATTTTCCCAGGTGTTGGGCTTGGGTGTGCCATTGCGCAGTCGCCACATATTCCGCAGGAAGTATTTGTCACGGCTGCAGGGGCACTCGGTGCCTTGATGGATCCAGAGGTTATGCGGGCGGAGGGAAAATTGTACCCACCCATCGGTGACATCCGCAACACATCGAGGCACGTGGCGGTGGCCGTAATTCAGGATCTCCAACGTATGGGCTTGGCAAAGGAGGATCTGCCGAGGAAAACACCAGATCTTGTGAAACTGGTGAGCGAGTGTATGTGGGAGCCACGTTACTTGGAGCCTGAGTACTATCTATCTAAGCACGTTGTCTAGTGTTCTAAATTTAAGTATGAAAATTTTTAAGATGTAACTTGTGGTGGGGGGGGGAGAGAGAGAGAGACGTATGCCCCCATTTTCATTGTGCTGTCGTTGTGCCAATTTCTTCTCGCGCTTCCGCACTCCGTGCATGCGGCTTTGAAGGCAATGTCCCCCATTCTATACTTTTGCCTGTATTTGCAAAAAGGGAGGGAGAAGGGGTTTTGTATTGTTATTGTTTTTCGTGTGTGTTGTGTGTTGGTCCAGCGGTAGTGATGACGGTGCTTCAGAGGCCATCCTCGCGAGGGCAAACATTAGGAAAGAGAGAGAACAAAAAAAAAATGGGCTGTAGATAGGCACAGAAGCTCAACGCTTTTAAAAAAAAAATCGTGGGATAACACGGGTGGAGTGATTTTTTTTTTTTTTGCTTTATGTTGGCCACCTAACCGGTCTGAGGCGCTCCGTGTTCTGGTAGCTGAGCGCGTATGTATGTGTGTGCTTGCGCTTATGATGAATGTCTCGCGTGCTCCTCCTTTGGGGATGTTTTTGGTGTGTCGTTTCCCTTTTCTGCTCTGCTCCACGTGTGTTGCTCTTCCTCTTGTTTGCGTTTTACTGTTGAGTTGTTTGAAGTGAGGACTGATGGCAGGCACCGCTGGTGCGACGAACGATGAGGACGACGACTGCCAGTTTGAGTACGTGGCGCCACTAACGGCCCAGACAAAAGGGGGTGCGAGCGGCGACGCGCGGCAGTTGAGCAAGACAGCCTACGAGGAGGAGCGGGATGCACGCGTGAGGGCCATTGTGAGTCAACAGGGTCTGGCGCTGCCGCCTCCGTCTGAGGCGGTCTCGCCGTGCGGCACGGAGGAGAAGGGGGAGGTTGAGGACACGTTAGCGCAACGGCAGGACCCGGAGGAGAGGCAAAGCACCAAGCCGGCGCTTAACCCCACGGAGGAGGCCCAGCGGCTGAAGAATCAGCGTTATGCCATTTACCGTCGTAACCGGTACTTGAATCAGAATGCGCTGAGGGAAGTCGACCCTGGCACCAAGCGCTACATGCAGATTGTATATACCCCCAGCAATGCAGTGGGGAGGCAGTACCACACGATGCGACGTGGCGGTCACACCGGGCCTTTGGCGGGCGGACAACAGTTTACACCGCGAGGTCAATCCGGGTTTAAACGATCGCGGGACTGACGGTGCACACGCACAGAGGAAGGCATTACGGTACAGATGTCATACATGTGTCCAATGGGTCTATATTACGCGTGTCTCTCCTTTAAGGAATGGGAGACACTGTGCCTTTTGGGCTTGATTTTTTTGAGTAGTTGTTTGCTCTCTATTTTTGAGTGAGCGTGTTTGTCTGCATGTGCCTCTGTGAATAATGTTTTTGCTTGTCTCATTGTGCCCTTGGGGAAGTCCGTGCATTGTATTTCTTTCCTTTTGCTTTTGCAGTCGATTTTGCTGTTGTTTCCTCTTTTTCTTTTTCTTTTTCCTTTCGTCTTTGGGCAAATGCATCTCATGCTGCTCTTCTCGCTCCCCGTGCTTTTCTCTCTTTGCATGCATCTGGCCACAAGTGGGTGATGGTGGTGGTAAGAGAAGAGAGCTGTGACGGCGAGAAAAAAAGGAAAACACTTATGTCTTTTTTTTCAGAGGAAGACGCGGTTGACGAGCCTGCACGGAAGAGGTGCTGCACTGAGCAGCAGCAGCGACAGCAGCAACAAAGATATGCCCCTGACGGCGTTTTAAACGGTCGTGGGGAGGGTGACGAGGAGGGGGAAGAGCAGCCTGTGTTGGCCAGAGAGCGCGCTGCTCGGGTGGGAGTGAAGCTCCTGCAAGGCATGCAGAAGCCCCTCTTGCCCTCGTCCTCGGTGCTTCCCTCCAGGGGCAATGAAATGCGCGTGGTGCAGGCATACGTGCCCCTCTCCGTCGGTGGCTTCATGGAAAGCTCTGCAGAGACGACTGTGAACGACATTAGCCATGTACGGCCTGGCAACATCATGTGCCTCCGCTGCCCCACCTCCTCCACCCCGCAGGTGAGCTCTGGAATGAACTTTGTGAAGGAGACCGACCTCACGGAAGAGGAACGGCGCTACGGCAAGCGCCTCTCTTCAAACATGATGCATGAACTCTTCGAGGTGGGCCGTGTGGACCGCGAAACGGGCCTGCTGGAGGCCATTTTCCTTGACGGGGCGAGGCAAAAGTTGAAGGTGTACGCCGTCCGCCCTGCTGGGTTTGTGGAGACGGAACTGTTTCACAAGTGGAAGCGTGATCCAAGCTCCCGACCGGTGCGAACCGTCTACGCGGCTCCTGTGAATCTCACCGCCTCCTCGTCATTGCCGTTAGCGACGACGACGGCGTCCGCCGCCAACCGGAACAGCAACGACAAGGGTAGCGACAACAGGAGCGTTGCGATGGGTGGGACGCCGACGCCGTGGTGGGTGAGTCCGCAGCTCGTTGTGCGGGTTGTTGAGAAGTCTGCGGGGGATATTTTTGGGAAAAAGTTTGTGGTGAGGTCTCTCGCGCGCAAGGAGGGAAAGATTCGTCTCGCGCCATGGCAGCGGTCACCAGGCGGTGGCGAGTCAGCCGCGAATTCATTGCTTGACATTGTGGGTTGCGAAGCATTGGAGACAGTTGCCCCCAAAGTGGGCGAACAAGGCATGATTGTGCTTGGGAGCATGCGTGGAGAGCTGGTAACCGTCATGGAACGTCACCGTGACGCGGATGGGGAGCTTGCGTCGCTGAAGGTTTGCTCCACGCTAACGCAGAAGGAGTTTGTGGTGGGCCCGCATGAACTCTGTCAGTTGGCACGTCCGCAGCGCTAAGTGGGTTTCAAAAGGAGGAGACGGAGCCTCCTTTGGGTTTGATGAGAAGTTGTTTCCCTTTTGCTTTATTACTCGGCAGCGAGTGCTCCTCCTGCGTTTGCTTTTTGCGCATTTGTCCCTCTGCATATCTTACTGGCCTTGACTCAGGTGTTTTCCCATGGCTCGCATTCTCTTTTTCGCCCCAATTTCTCCTCTCCTGCCTTTTCCATGTTACATGCATTCGCACTTCAAGCCTGTGACGGTGTTTTGTGGCGCCTTTCTCCCTGCAGACATCATGTGGGATGAGGCGCAGTCCGGCACGCACCGTGTAGACCCTGTTTCGTACTTCCAGCTGCGCCAGGGGCGCCGAACCGTCGGCTACGCGAAACGCTCATCGCAGGTGCCCATGGGCACAGAGGAAATCAGCGGGGCCTCGCCGACGCGGCGAGGCCGGGAACGAGGGCCTGGCAAAGAGTTTGCACGCTTTATCGAAATGTTCGGTTTTCCTGAGAGGCGACCGCAGCCAACGTCGCATAAACGTCTCTTTTTGGCCTCCACGCAGCCAACCAACATCAACCTCTTTCAGCGGCCTGGCGAGCCGGATCTACGGCATCTGCTGCGTGGTGGGGCGGCTCTCACCGACGACTACCAGGCGGAGGTGGAGGAGGGGGCAGTGTCACATGTCAGCGGGAAGAGTGCGCCACTGTCACCCCATAGTGTGAAAGGTGTGACATCGCCGAATGCACACAATGTAAGAGCCGAGCTGCACGACAACAGCGAGGAGGTGGTCGCCGAAATCGAGGAACGCATTCAGCTGCTGGAGCAAGCGTTGGCGTATGAGCGGGGGCGACTGCACTCCGCACTTGCCGGAAGAAATGTTCCGTCTGCCCAAATGGTGCATGCGGACGCGGTGAGGCGGTTTCACACATCTGGTGCAAACGCGTTCTGTGAGAATTCGTGCAACACTGAGACTAGCGCTGTGCGAGGGAGGTGCCGAGTACAGTCACAGTTCTGTTGCGAACCACGACAGTTGCAGCAGAAGAGTGAGGATGGTTTGTGTTGGGCGTCTCAGGACGCGCAAGCGGGGGGGAGTGTTGACGGTAATAAGAGGACTTCACCACGAGTGACGTCCGTTCGATCCATTGCCATGTCACGACAAGCTCAATACCGCCAAACCAGCTGCCAAAGGGCAATTAGACGCAGGTCAGCCGGAGTCGCGGACAGCAACCACACCTGCAGCTGCAACAATGCGGGGTCACAGCAGTTGGACTTTGGCAGATCACTACACCGGATGGACGTAGTGGTCTTATGGAGCTGCTGATCTCTTGATGTTTTGTTGTTGTTTTTTTATGTTTGTAATGTGGGTTGTTGTTGTTGATTTTGTTTTTCTAGATTTGTCATCAGTAGACTCAAAGAAGTATTCGGCCTTTTGTTTGTAGCTTTTCATTACTATTTTTTTTTATTAATTTATGTGTGTGTGTGTGTGTGTCTTGTGGGTTATTTCCTCACAGTTGCTCATGGTGGCTCATCTCTGACTTTTCTTCCCCTGTGCACTCGCTCCGCCCATATTTGTAGAGGGTACGCGTGGTTTATTTCTCTCGCCTTGCTCCTTCGTCTCCCGACGCAAGTAAGAGAGGGTGTGGGCGGGGCTATGCGGCGCCGTATCGATGCAGGCATGGCGTCCTTCTTCGACGCCGAGTTGTCGTCCAGCCTCATGCAACGGCATTCTCATAAGGCCAGACACGATCGCCACATGCAGTCAACACTACTGAGGGGGCAGGAACGTCAAGAAGGAGAGCTGCCGCCGCCCTCGCCGTGCTTTGACGCCTACGTCGTTTTGGACTTTGAGGCGACGTGCGAGCGAGGTAGACGTCTGGTGGAGCCGGAGATTATTGAGTTTCCCATGGTGCTGATTGACGCCCGCAGCCGTTGCATTCAGGCAGAGTTTCAACGCTACGTGAAGCCTCTTGTCCATCCGGTCTTGTCGGAGTTTTGTACCGAACTCACCGGCATCACGCAGTCCGTGGTCGACGGGGCAGAGACATTCCCCTCCGTGTGGGAGGCGGCTCTTGAATTCCTGCGCGGTGGTGGGTACGGTGAGGCGCCGCCGCAGCGTAGTTTCCTCTTTGTTACGTGCGGTGACTGGGACTTGAAGACGATGCTGCCGAGCCAGCTGCAGACGGCGGCAAAGGCGGGCGTGACACTCGTAGCTCCGTCCTCGTTTAGACGATGGTGTAACCTTAAGGAATTCATGCAAGGCAGTGGTCTCGCAACAGCGTGCGGCATACGTGACTTGCCAGACATGTTGGCTGCAGTGAACTGCCCTTTGGTCGGCCGACATCACAGTGGTATTGACGATTGCAGGAACATTGCGTCTGTCCTGCAGGAACTTCTGAGATGGGGGTACGCAGTTGTACCGACCACAGACCACAGCGGACTTCCGCGGTGGGTGAGTTCCCTGCCGGACGCGCGCAGCCCGACCGATTCCCGTCTGCACGAAGAAGGAGGTTCGCCAACTTCAGTGTGTGGAGCAAAGTGTGCTTTGAACAGGCACGCAGGCAAGAAGCGTGGACCCCGTACAACGCAGGTGGTGGAAATGGCTGAGCGGCCTCATGTGGATATTGTTTTGGAAGAGGACCCGCTACCGGCGCTGCTGAATGACAACGTCGTGTTGGAAGAGGCGAAGAAGGTTGCGTACTCGAAAACGCTTGCGCGGATTCTCCGTCACGCGGCCGATGCTATGCGCATCCCAGTCTCCAGCGGGGGGTACGTGCGCGTGGAGGACATACTCCGCTGCAAGCCTTTCTGCGACGACCCTGCAGCGTTGTCACGCATCGCGCTGGTGGTGCACATGAATGATAAACAACGATTTAAGTTGGCGTATGATGTGAATCACCAGCTGTATATTCGCGCCAATCAAGGGCATAGTCTTGGTGGGATTGACCCGGAGCTACATCGCATTACACGTGCTGCGGAGGTCCCGATGGCTATTCACGGTACATACTACTCCGCATGGAAAGCGATTTCCGCGTGCGGGTATTTGTCGACAATGACACGGCAGCATATTCACTTTGCAAGAGGTTTACCAAGTGGCCCCGGCGTGATCAGCGGGATGCGTTACAGCGTGGAGGTGCTTCTGTACCTGGATGTGGCGAAATTAATTGCGGACGGCGTTGAGCTATGGGAAAGTGTGAACGGTGTGCTCCTAACACCAGGTGTGGGAGCCACTAAGAGGCTGCCGCTTGCGTACATTGCGAAGGTGGTGGATCGTAAGACTGGTCAGCTGCTCACACATTGACTAGGACACTACGCATCCCTGCATGCGTCTCTGTGCAACCGACATTGCATGGACGCGGAGAGTGAGAGGGGCCAGTTTGTGCATGTTCCTTCGTCGCGTTGTTTGTTTCCACGTTGGGCATCCCCTGCGGCAGGAATAGTGCGTGGACAGGGATGGTGCTAAGTTGTACGGGTGTACCTGCTGAGATGGGTCATGTCATCTTTTTTTCTTTTTTGTTGTTGTTTTTTCTTCTGCTTTTAATTCTGTGGCTCGCGCGAGTGGGACGGTGAGACTCCACACACGCACACACATTTGGCCTTCTCTACTACTTTCCGCCTACTCTGTCCGCACGGTAGCGGATGGGGGAGAAAGGTTGTTCCACACGGGCGCATTGTAGCGACAGTTGCTGTAGTCATAGCAGTAACAGTGATGGCTGGTGTGAGTGTCACGCCGCGCTTCCCCCGTCACGTCCCCCTCTACTTGACTGCATTTCCGTCTATGAGACGCCGTCACTATGCTACGTCGTTGGCGCCGACGCGGCCCAAAAGGAATACCGCGTACTGCGCTTTACAAAGTCTAACAGTGACGTTTTAAAGTACAGCGGCATGGGCACGCACACTCCTGCCCAAGCTCAGGCGTTTATTGGGCGTGTGACCAAGGACAAAAGCACAACCGTGCTACAGGGCAAAGCTCTGCTGGGCTGCATCCGGTTTACTAAGGGTTATTACCTTATTTTGGTGACGCAGCGGCGCTGTGTGGCGCGGTTGGGGTATCACCGCATTTTTGAGGTCGCTGACGTGGAGCTGGTGTCACTCTGCATCGTGGAGCCGATGTCGACATTGCTGACGGCGGCAAGCGGCTCAGCCTTTTTGGGGTCTCGCACCACGGAGGATTATTATCGAAGTCAGTTCTTGTCCACCTCACTCAAGCAACACTTCTACTACTCTCACACCTACGACCTCACAAACACGCTGCAGACGAACATGACACTCCTGTGTGGCGAACGCAGAGTGCGTTCCAAATTTGTTTGGAATGAATTTCTTCTGGAACCGTTCTTTTTTTCAGCCACCGCGCGTCACGCGTCATCGCTCTCTGCGGAGGAGGAGGAGGCACGGTGGACCTCAGCGGATGTGGAACAGTGGATTGTATACCTGACACACGGTTCCATCGTACAGTGCCCTGTCGGATGCGGCTCAAAGCCGCTTCTTTTGACGCTCATTGGGCGTGTCAGCAAAAACTTTGCGGGGGTGCGCTATTTGCGCCGTGGGGTTGACAGCGATGGCCACGCCGCAAATCACGTGGAGGTGGAGCAGATTGTCGTGGATGAGTCGCAGTTGCATACACACTTCACCAGAGGTAGCTTCACTTCATATGTGCAGGTACGGGGCTCAGTTCCGCTGCATTGGTTTCATCCCCCCACGCAGTTGCCCAAACCGCCCATCAAGCTGGGAGTGAGAGATATCTACTACGCCAACACACGAAAGCACTTTCAAGAGCTATTGGAGGACTACGGGGCACCAGTAATCATAATGAACCTGCTCCAGCAACGCGAGAAGCGGCCCCGAGAAAGTATTTTGGGCCAGGAATTTCGAAGGGCCGTTATGACATTGAAGGGCTTTGTAGGCGCTGGCGCAGAAGCCGAGGAGGCAGATGAAATTCTTTCGTACCTTGAATTTGACATCCGTGAGTCGGCTCATGCGGCGTGGAATAACGTCACGGCCTTGGCGGAAGGAGCACTAGAGAAGACAGGGTTCTTTGTTTGTAATCGTGAGGGCACACGTGTACGGCGTCAGGAAGGTGTCATACGTTCTAACTGCGTGGATTGCGTTGACCGAACGAATCTTGCACAGTTTTTCTTTGGGTTGCATGCATTGGGGCATCAACTGCACGCCTTGGGCCTACTTCACTCCCCAGTGGACCTTGCGTTGTCACCAGGGGTGCAAGACTTGCTGCTTCGCATGTATCTCCTTCTAGGGGACGCTATTGCGGTCCAGTACGGTGGTTCCCCTCAGGTAGGTGCCGGTGTGCTGAACCGAGGCACTGGATGGGATCAACTGATGGGCATTAAGCGACTTTACAACAACATGGTTGGTGACCGTGAGAAGCAGTCCGCGCTGAACCTGTTTTTGGGACGGCATCGGCTGTACCCCAGGGCAAAGTTTAGTGCACCCAACCCCACGCCACCTATTCCCGGCGCAGAAGCAGTCGGTGTGGAAGGAGGAAATGTAGCAGTAAAGACAAGTTATGGTGTGGGTGATGGAGAGAGCTGCAGTAGGGAGTTGGGGCCCCCAGCTGCGAGGGGGGAGGTGCAGCTCATGAGCTTTGAGTACCGAGCCGGCCGTGTGGTGGACCCCGCGGAGATGGAGTCAGATTATTATTTGCAGGTCAAGCGCGCCCCACGCTTGCCAAGACCGACGATGTGAGAAGCTGGTGGAAGGAACCCCTGCAGCGCCATCAGCGTTCCATGGGCGCGTGCAGCGTGTCGTCGCACTCCAGGCTTTCAATGATGGGCGATGTGTCACACGAGGCAAAAAGGGGGCATGAGGAACTCTTGTCTCGTCTCTGTATCTACGAGCGTGCCGCCGCCGTGAGGCAGTACCGTGACAACGGCACAGAGGAGACAAGTAATGGGGCTGTGTTGCAAGAAGAAGTTGTCGCTCTTGTGTTGACGACAGCACTGAATACTTTGGTGCGCCGCACTGTGACGCTGCCGTGCCGTCGACTCTCTGTGCAGAGGCTGGATTTTATGCGATCTCTCATGGTTCAGCATGAGGTGGAGTTGGAGCGGGTGTGCGAGGTGACGTGCGGGCCCGTTGTGGAGTTGCTGCACAATCACCGTGAGTTTCCGGATGAGGTGCAGGCCAGCGTCTTTCATCAGGTGCTTGACTCTGTGCGGCGCATGAGTGAGGAGTGTGAGCCCCCAGATGACCTTCGTCGCATGCATCTCGCGGTGCTTTCCATGTACGGTGACCCTGTCGACTGGAACGTGGAGACCGTTGTGGAGGTGCTGCTGGCGGTGGAGCCGCAGGTGCTTGAGGGGACGCTGAATTATCTGCGGAGCATGAACGTGGACGGGCGCAGCTTGCTGTACCTACTCAACACCGACGCACTGGATCAGCGGGAACTACTCAACCGCTTCATAAGCCTTGTAAAGGAGCTGCCGCGGGTGAGTTTAGAGTCCACACTCCGTTGTTGTGCCGAGTTTGATTATGAGACGATGGAGTGGATGCAGGAGGAGGAAGAAAGTCGTGGCAACAGTAGTGTTGGTGATGATGGGATTGCCTCCCCAGATTCCACGTGCCGCCTTCTGCAGCCGTTCTTTCAGGAAGCGGTGTACCCTACCACGATGGGGGCCGTGGTACGACAACTGCTGCAAAATATGTCTGACGTGGTCTCTGGCGTCCCACGCAGTGATCGTTTGCGGTACCATGAAAAATTTGATCAGCGCGTTCCACCAGCCTTTGTTGCGACACAGGGCTTTAGTGCCGAGGAGCTGCATGCATGGCTGCTGCGCAATTCCAGCCGACTGGGCCTCACCCTGCATAAACATGTCGAGCGGCATGATGCATCACAGGCGTGTTGGAAGTTTATGCTTTGGCTCGCCCACGCCAACCTCGTGGTTGACATTATTGTTGAGCAAAGCTCTGGTGTCCTCGTCCACCCTGGCATCAAGTTAAGTGACTTTTCATGCCGTACTCGGCTTTTCACGCTGCGTCCTCTTCAGGAGATGCACGTGCTCAACAAGGGGGGCTTGCTTATAGGTGACTTGGAGCTCCCGACTGGATCTATGACTTTTTCCCCGGTTCCAAGTGCTTCGTCTCCTGCTGCTGCTCAGTCGGTATGCCGCGCCCTCGTGTGTGCTGAGTCCCTGGTGAGTGTGGCATTGCGTGTTCTCCCCTCCGTGCAGGAGATGACGCTGGCAAGCGCTGGATGCACCTCTCAGAACGCCGCGTTTCGCGCACTACTCAATAGTCTTTTCATGCACAGCACACAACTGACCGAGGTCGACCTTACTCTGCTTCGACCACGCGAGCGATGGTGTTTTTGGGTGAACGTTTTCAATGCCTTGTACATCCATGCCTGGCTAGCCGCATTCGTTGTGCGGGCACAGGACTACCCAAGTTTTTACAACACCAACGGCTACGAGATTGGTGGTTACTTTTTTCGTTGAGCGACATCAAACATGGTATTCTGCGCGGGAACAAACCGGCGACCTTTGCACTGCTACCACCTTTTGAACCGGGTGATCCACGGGTGTTGTTTGTTCCCACGGAACCTGAGGAGGCGGCGAAGCTGGCAGGGG